GATATGAATGCTTGAGAAAAGCAGCAGGGATAGTAAGAGCAGGAATAAAAATAACTGATAGTTGAAGATTGAGTCACAGCCAAAAGTAACTCTGATAGTTATTCCTCTTCGGGAAATATTTATTTGATATGACAAACTTTTTGGGGATAGCTTTGTGTGTCCTGAGTATCATAAGATGGATATGTGTAATTCAGGACAGGCAGAAAAGAGGTGTTAACAAGCTTGTCAGATGGACAACTAGAATTGTGCTATTTGTCTCAGCAGTTCATTCTTACACTACAAACATCAGCGTTAGCCTCTGAGAGATAGGAAGTATTGTAATACCTTGTTTGTGCACAAAGGGAGTCCTCTTGATTTTTTAATGCCTGTCTGCAAGCTTACATTCATCATCTATGCATTCCTCCATTCAAAACAATTCCTGTGCCAGTCAGTGTGATTGTGAATGATCATTATCCTGCTGATAAGAATATTCAGGAACTGCAATGTTTCCGTAATCCTGTTGTGAATCAGTGATGCCACCAACCTAAAAAGCTAGCTCTTTTCTCCAGCCTTAACCTACATTGTGCATTGCTCCCGAGCATAAATCACAAAAGACGGAACTTGAAGTGATGTCTAATTGTGCCACTAACATCAGGTGATAGCCCTATGGTTAAATAGAAAGGTAATATATTGTAATAGAAATTGCAGGTTAGAAGTGGTTTCATAGTTTCAATCACACATCGAGGAAGGTGAAGTTGTGTGTGTTTGCGTGATTGGCGGTTGGTGAGTTAGAACTTTCCAACCTTTGTAGTTCAATCCTTTCATCTTATTTTATTTTATTTATTTATTTGTTTTTTTGAGATGGAGCCTTGCTCTGTCGCCAGGCTGGACTGCAGTAGTGCGATCTTGACTCACTGCCACCTCCACCTCCTGGGTTCAAGTGATTCTCTTGCCTCAGCCACCCAAGTAGCTGGGACTACAGGTGCATGCCACCACGCTCGGCTAATTTTTTTTGTATTTTTAGCAGAGACGAGGTTTCACTGTGTTAGCCAGGATGTTCTCGATCTCCTGACCTCCTGATCTGCCCACCCTGGCCTCTCAAAGTGCTGGGATTAGAGGCAGGAACCACCACAAGCGCCCCCTTTCATCTTATTTTGAAGAAACTGAGGACCAGCAAAACTGGGCAGCTTCTCAAACTTGCTCGATGTGTTAGCATTTGAAACAGACATGTTCAAATGAATAGTCTCATTTTTAGCAATTTCCATACCCTTTATAATTATCCCCCCAAAATTAGACATTATATTTTCTCATGGCGGATAAGCAGTTTAAACTCTTGCCTAATGCTTATTACATTTGTTCTGGAATAACTAGTGGTCTCCATGTCACTATGTCAGAAAACCATGATCCAGTAGTATATCAGTGATGTAAATCTATCATAAAATTCCTGGTCTCTAAGACTTTTCCGTTCTATTTCCTCACTCTTAAAATACCTCTCCTGTCCCATGCACTGCTCTGGTTGCCAGAGGGCTACTCATTCACCCAGGTTCAGCTCAAGTCTAGCCTTTCCATGAAGTTAACCTTCTGCACACCCATGCAAAGATGCCAAGTTGTTTGTACCTTTTTTTTTTTTTTTTTTTTTTTTTTTTACAAAGAGCCTTACTCCATCGCCCAGGCTGGAGTGCAGTCGCACGATCTCCACTCACTGTTACCTCCCCCGCCCAGGTTGAAGCGATTCTCCTGCCTCAGCCTCCCGAGTAGCTGCGATTAGAAGGCCCACCACCACCACGCCCGGCTAATTTTTGTATTTTTAGTAAAGACGGAGTTTCACCATGTTGGCCAATCTTGTCTTAAACTCCTGACCTCAGGTGATCCGCCCACCTCGGCCTCCCAAAGTGCTGGGATTGCAGGCGTGAGCCACCGCGACCGGCCTTGTTTGTACCTCTTTACAGTGTTATATCACTCACTCAATTGTCATTCATTTTTATTTCCCATTAGAAGCAGCTCCACAAATGCAGACATCCTATCTGATTTATTCCTAGGCTTCCTAACAAGCAGCATATGAGCCTTCCTTTCAGCTCAGGTAAACGGAAAGAAATAAAGAGCACTATATAGTAAATTGATTATAGAAAGGTGCCCTCATTGTTAGATACTCCTGCTTTACAATTAAATGGTAAACTCTTTGAGGGTTAAAGGTCTTTGCTCATAACCATCTCATTGTTTTTCATACTTCTAGCACAGACTTGTAGGCTCCACAATCTATTATTGACTTATCCAAGAAAATGAAAAGGGAAGTTAGGAGGCTGAGGGAGTCTGTTAACTTCAGGGAGAGGAACAGACTTCTGGAAACAAGAGTTTCACTTGGCCTTTCTGCCTCTGGCCTCCTTACTTTTTTGTCATAAGTCTAACCACATTCAGGTACATTTCCTTTTGGTAAAATGTTTTACCCTTTCTCTTCATTTTTTTGAAAACCTCATCCTTATAACTTACCTTTCAGCTTGCTTTCACTTTAGTTCTGAATTTTTGGAAGCAACTGAATCAAGAAGTCTTAAAGTGAACTTGTTTGAGGTCTCAAAGCAATTATAAATAAATAAATTAAGAGGTTCTAAAAGTTTTCTGCAGGTCCTTTGTCTCACTTTGATTCCTGGAAATTTAAGTTTCTGAGCAGGGATTAATGAGATGTGAGCAGGAAGTGTTTTTAAGTAGGATGTGAGTGAAAGATATATTAGATATGAGGAAATAGATAAAGTGAGAATATCTATGCTGACAAGAATGTCGAAATAAGGTGAAACCTTGTTCTGGATAGACAAGTATGTGAAAATCAGGGTCAAAAGTTGCTCCTTGGTTCAACATCTGACCAGCTCTGTGATCACAGGCAAGGCCTTTAGCTGTCTTTGTATTTAGAAGAGAGTTTTGGCTATATCTCAGTTACGCTTATCCCACTATAATGTATGATACTGTAACTCTATTTAGAAGAAAGCATGAGGATGAGTGAAATCAATTAGTGAAGGAGATGGATTAGACAGATTGACAAGAGAAAGGGTAGTTGCAAACATAGAAGGAAAGGCTAAGAAAGAACTATAAGAGTGGAGAAAAAAAATAATTAAAAGAAAATACATTTAGGATAATGTGTTTAGCCTTAACTTTACCGGAAAACAAAAAATACGTATCAATCAACGCAAAGTGCATAACTAAAGGGAGACGAGAAACAAGTCATTGGAAACTGGAGTAAAGGCCATCATTGTTACACAGTTGCCAAGAACTTGGTAGAAGTATATCTACGTCTTAGGACTTTATGGAAAACAGAAATTAAGAGCAATAATTTAGGACATTTGGTGGAAGAAGTATCTAAGCAGCAAAGCATTCAGGCTGCTGTGTGGCTACTTTTAACTACATACAGTAAGAGGCAAGAGTGGAAAAAATGACTTAAAAATGGCTTTTATAATTAAAAGAGAAGCAGAATAGAAAGATTTAGAAAATTCACAGCCTAGCTGTATAAAACACGAAAAGCCATATTTGGGAGAAAATACTAAGGGCATGGCCTAGAGACCATTGTTAAAGAGATGAATATGGCTAGAAGGGAGTGAAATACTATTCAAGATATTGAGAAAAAGGCCCTGAAGGCATTTCAAAGATCTTGGAGGCTGCCCGTTTCATCACAGGCTCAGAGCTCAGAGAGCAAATTGGTTTTAGGGGAAACTGGAGTGCCGTTTACAGGCTTGCTGCCCAGATCTGCCTCAGGTTTTTGCTCTCTGAATTCCAGCACAGTGCTCCTTGGCTGCTCCAGCCATGGCTCAAGTGAGCCCAGGTGCAGTTCAACCCACCACTCCATAACGTGCAGTTGGTAAGACTTGGTGGCACCCACTTGATAAGTGTGCAGGCTAGCAGAATGCAAGAGGTGTGGGCCACAACTACCTCTGTGTTCAAAGGATGTAGTGGACAGCCTGAGGGCCCAGGAAGTCCACTCCCATGGCAATGCCTAGTGGAGCCATGGCAGTGGACTGCCATGGACACCCCAGAAATGTAGAGCTACTAGCCTGAAGCATTAGCCTGGGACAGCTGCAGGGATGAGTCTCCAACTTGTGAGAGCTGAAGCGTCAATTAAGCCTGGCCAAGCCATTTTATTTCTCTGTTGGGTTTTGGACTTAACTTGGAACCTGTTACTTTCTCATTTTTGCCTATTTCTCCCTTTTGGAATGGGAATCTCTGTCTTATATCTGTCCTGCCAGTGTATTTTGGAAGTAGATAACTTGTTTTGATTTCACAGGATCATAGTTGGTGGGAATTTGCCTCACAGTGAATCATGCCTTGAATCTCACCCATATCTAATTTAGATAAGACTGAATTTGGGGCTTTTGAGTTGATGCTGGAACAAATTAAAAGTTTTGAGGCTATTGAAATAAAATGAATATACTTTGTATATGAAAAGAACATGAGTTTTGGGGGATCAGGGACAGAATTTTATGGTTTGAATGTTCCCTCCAAAATTCGTGTTGAAATTTTATTGCCATTGTAACAGTGTTATGAGATGAGTAGGTTATAAACGTACTAATGCCCTTATTGTAGGAATGGATTAGTTGTCATGGGAGTGGGCTACTGATAAAAGGATGAATTTTGGCCCCCATTTTTCTCTGTCTTGTGTGCTCCCTTCTACCTTCTGCTTTCTGCCATGAGATAATGCAGCAGAAAGGCCTTTGCTAGATGCTGGCACCATGCTCTCGGACTTCCCAGCCTACAGAGCTATGAGCCAAATAATTCTGTGGTTCATAAATTATCCAATCTCAGGTATTCTGTTATAGCAGCAGAAAACAGACTGAGACAGAGGATTAAATGAGTTATTTCATTTTTAAACACACACTTATTATGTGCCTAGTATATATGAGACACTCTAGTGAGGCTTAATTATTAGAAATTTGGGGGTGTTTTTGAAAATTACCATATAATGTTTGAGCACTATTGAAGTCACATATATATGGGCCTTCCAGAAAAGCATATTTGATTTTAGTTTTGTTTTTATCTTTTAGGGAAAGAATCATGTGATGTACAGCTTTACATAAAGAGACAATCTGTATACTCTGTCTTAGCAGGAAAACCCTTTAACCTACAATGCCCTGTGAAATACTGTGCTCACAGGCCTCATGTGACTTGGTGCAAGCTCAATGGAACAAAATGTTTACCACTTGAAGATGGACTTCAACGACACACAAGTTGGAAAGAAGAGAAGAACATTTCATATTTTATTCTACATTTTGAACAAGTGCTTCCTAGTGACAGTGGGTCATACCGCTGTTCTGCACATTTTTCACTTCAACTCATTGAAAGCCACTCAACAACTGTTTATGTGAGAGGTGAGTTCTCAATACCTCAATCATCTAATATTTTTCTCATAATGTTTCCAGGAAGAGAGGGATTCAGATTCTCAAGTGATCACGTTAGAAAGTGAACTCCTATAGCACATCCAAAGTTTGTTACACCTTACAGATTATGTGCCAGTGTGTACATATGTGTGTGTATGTGTGTGTTTGAGATGAGTGAGATAGAGGAGAGTAGAGAAAAATATAATAAAAGTTATCATTTTTCACTTTAGGGATTATAAAATTTATTTGGTAAGTCTAAAAGTAGATCAATGAAATATTGAAAAAATTATGAAGTGAATACCTATAGTTGCAAATAGCTCTGTGATTCTTTGTCCTTGCTTTTTTTCTTTTTTCCCCAATTTTCTCTTCTTTACTTTTGTTCATCACAATTTCTTGAAGTTATGTTTGTGGTACTTAGTCAATGACACACTTTTTAATAGTTCACAGTTTGTTTAGAAGAAAAACAGCAAGCAAATAACCTGACTCCCTGATGATTTTCTGGGAATATTCATAGCTTCATTTATCTCCCCTGGTCCCCCACAGAAGCCTTTAATAGGGTTTGACAACTGAGGAAGGACAGATAGAAGTTAAGCTCATGGAAACCAAGCTGAATAAAACATGAAAAAATACATAGAGAGAGGGGAGTCAGTGAGAGTAAGAAATATTTGGTTTATAAAAATTGTATAGCTAACATCATATTCAATGGTGAAAGGCTTAGAGCTTTCCGTCTAAGATGAGGAACAAGACATGGATCTTTGCTTTTGCGATTTCCATTTAACATTAAACTGAAAGTTCTAGCCAGAGAAAATAGACAAGAAGAAGAAGTAACAAGTATCTAACTTAGAAAGGAAGAAGTAAAACGTTATTCACAGACGGCATAAACTTATGTGTAGAAAAATTCCTTAAAATTTATTTAAAACTATTAAAGCTAATATATGAATTTAGCAGTTCCACATGATACAGGATTAATACATAAAAATCAATGATACTTCTATATAGTAGCAATAAACAACCCACAAAAAAAAATTAAGGAAACGGTTCCATTTACAATAGCATCGAAAAGAATAAATTTCACCAAGAAGGTGCAAAAGTTTTACACTGAACAAAGAAAGCATGGCTGAAAGAAATTCAAGAATATGTAAATAGATGCAAAGACATTCTGTATTCATGGACTGAAAGATGTAATATTGTAAAGATAGCAGTATTCCTCAAGGTGATCTACAGATTCAATGCGGTTCCACCAAAATCCCAACAGCTTTTTGTTGCTATTGCAGAAATTAAAAAGCTGATTCTAAAATTCACATTGAGTTGCAACAGATCCATAATTGCCAAAACAATCTTGAAAAAGAACAAAATTGAAGCTAAGACTTCCCTATTTCAAAACTTACTACAAAATTACAGTTAAAACACACACACACACACACACACACACACACACACAGAGTATTACTGTCATATGGACAGACAAAGAGATCAATGTAAATAGAATTGAGAGTCCAGAATAAACTCCATACATCTGTGGTCAACTGATTTTTGACAAGGATGACAAGATTATTCTATGGCAAAAGAATAGTCTCAGTAAGTGTGCCAGGAAAATTGGATATTCACATATAAAATAATGAATTTGAATCCCTATCTCACACTATGTTTTAAGAAATCAAAATAAATCAGAAATTTAAGTAGAAGAACTAAAACTATAAAAACTACAGTATATAAAACAATAAAACCCTGGTTTCTTAGGAGAAAACATACGGATAAATGTTTCTAATCTTGGATTTAGCAGCGATTTCTTAGATATGATTACAAAGGCATAATCAACAATAACACCAAAAATAATTAAATTGGAATTCATAAAAATTAAACACTTTGGTGCATCCAAAAATAAAATAAAATTAAATTAAAAAACAAAAAAAAACCCTATAAATTCAACAACAAATAGACTGGCAATCTAATTTTAAAATTAGCAAAGGACTTGAATAGACATTTCATCAAAGAGAGTACACAAATGGCCAATAAGCATATGAAGAAAAATGCACAGTACCGTTAGTTACTAGAGAAATGCAAATCAAAACCACAAGGAAAACCCACTTCTTACCTGTAGAATGAGTAGAATAAAAGAAACATGGAAAATAAGAAGTATTAGCAAGGATGTGAAGAAATCGAAACCCTATCCATTGCTGATGAGAATGTAAAATGATGCAGCTACTTTGGAAAATGGTCTAGCAGTTCCTCAAAAGGTTAAACTCAGTTGCCACAGTACCAAGTAATTCTATTCCTAGTTAAATACTCAAATGAAATTAAAATATAAGTTCACACAAAACCTTGTGCATGAATGTTTATCACAGAACTATTCACAATAGCCAAATTGTGGAAGCAAACTAAATGTTCAACTGATGAATGGATAAAGGAAATGTAGGTTATCTGCACATGGATTATTTAGTCTTAAAAAGGAATGAAGTACTAATGTGTGCTACAACACTGATGAATTGCAGAAGCATTATGCTAAGTAAAAGAAGACATATACAAAAGGTCACATACAATGTGTTTCTGTTTATATGAAATATCCCAAATAGGCAAATCCATAGAGACAGGAAGTAAATTGGTGGTTGCCAGGGGCTGAGGAATGTGGAGTGACTACTTAATAGGTAGAGGGTTTCCTTTTGGGGTGATGAAAAAGTTCTGAATCTAGATAGTAGTCATGTTTGCACAACACTGTGAATATCTTAAATGCCATTTAATTGTATATTTGAAATAATTAAAATAGTAATTTCTATGTTATATGTATTTTACCACAATAAAAATATATTTGGATCAAAGAAGAGTGCCCTTTAATTATAAGAAATAAGGTGGAGCTTCTTTTGTTGCTCATAAATTGACCCTTAACGGTCATTAGGAAGGAGAAATTTCAAAAGAGGTTTATTGCAATAGCAGCCTGAGTGAACTCTAGTTGCAGCCTCATACAATTTAGTTCCTTTATGGACATTATTCACTTGAATGCATACATTTTACAACTGTTCTTTTTAGAATTAATTTGTTACTTTATATGCTTACTTTTGAGTGTGTTTGCACTCCCTTAAAGTAGCCCAATGAAGGAATCCATTGGAATTCTTTTAAAATGCTTTAAGTCACTTAAAAATTTCTTACAGCAGCCCCATGAAAAAATGCGCAGCGCTTTAGTGCTAGCTGCAACCCTCAATTATGAAATGCAGAAGTGTAGAAGAAATCGATGGCAGAGTTAAGGACTCACTTTTGCAAATATAGCATCAAGCTCAGTGTTAGTTACTTGTGACCATCCATGTGCCCTGAAGAGGCTTATAAACTTCAGAACAGAGGCTGTGTCTTAAACATCTTTGCTCAGTATGATGAAAGGCAGGGTATCTGGGACATGGTAGGGGCTCACTAAATAACTCTTTGTAAGTGAATTAAAGAATATATGCAAGGGGGGCCGGGCGCGGTGGCTCACGCCTGTAATCCCAGCACTTTGGGAGGCCGAGGCGGGTGGATCACGAGGTCAAGAGATCGAGACCATCCTGGTCAACACGGTGAAACCCCGTCTCTACTAAAAATACAAAAAATTAGCTGGGCATGGTGGCGCGTGCCTGTAATCCCAGCTACTCAGGAGGCTGAGGCAGGAGAATTGCCTGAACCCAGGAGGCGGAGGTTGCGGTGAGCCGAGATCGCGCCATTGCACTCCAGCCTGGGTAACAAGAGCGAAACTCCGATTCCAAAAAAAAAAAAAAAAAAAAAAAAAAGAATATATGCAAGGAACAAAAATTGTGTTTATCAACCTGGAGAAGCCTATATTGAGGATGTATGGAATGAACACTTTCTGGAAAGAATTGTACTATTAATTCTCATTACTGAGACAAAATATTGATTTTTTAACAAATAGTACTTTTTAAACAGGAAAAATACATTATGAAAATAAGGAAAATCTGCAAAATGTTACTTCTAGAATGATATATACTACCGAATCAATAAGTGCTACTAATTTAGATAATATATATTAACATAATGTATAATGAAATTAAATTTTGAGGCATTGAATCCCCCTTCCCTTCCTTGAAAGAGATGCCTTCTTGTGTAATTCAGTCTTTCTTTTTTTTTTTTTTTTTTTTGAGACAGAGTTTCACTCATGTTACCCAGGCTGGAGTGCAATGGCGCGATCTCGGCTCACTGCAACCTCCGCCTCCTGGGTTCAGGCAATTCTCCTGCCTCAGCCTCCTGAGTAGCTGGGATTACAGGCACGCACCACCATGCCCAGCTAATTTTTTTGTATTTTTAGTAGAGACGGGGTTTCACCATGTTGACCAGGATGGTCTCGATCTCTTGACCTCGTGATCCACCCGCCTCGACCTCCCAAAGTTCTGGGATTACAGGCTTGAGCCACCACGCCCAGCCAATTCAGTCTTTCTTTATGAGAACAAGTCTACTTCTATATGAGAGACGAATTTAGCCAAGGTCAGATGCAAGGTCAGAAGCTCATAATTAATTGCAATACAAAAGTCTATTACACGAAAGTAGCATTACAATTTCTGCTCCATCCCATGTTTGGGTCATTCATGACCATGAAAGATGGTGTACAGTGCATAAAGATGCCTGTTCTAGGGATCAAGTTGGGGCTGAGATTAGTATCAACAATCTATTGTGTGGAGGAAGGAGTCCAACTTTAGAGGAAAGAAAATAACATTCCCTCCTAAATCCTGTACCCTGGTGGGTTTTATGGAACAAAGTATGTGAAAGATGAAGTGGTAAAAGAGAAAGTCTAAGAGCTAAATAGCAGACATGAAGGACCTTGTAAGTTTCTTTTTGAACATTTCTACTGTCTCCTAGTTTCCTACTCGCCTACCGTTCTTATCACACCCTCCGTATCAGTTTGTTAATTAATGCTCTTGATCCTCATTAAAAAATCCCAGAGAATTTTCTTTGGCTTCCTACTCTTGTCTCTCCACCACATTCCACTCTGTGATGTTTCCTTCTATGAGCATTTCACACCATGATTGCCTTCCTTCTAAATAATTCCAATTAATTCTATGATTGGACTCTGTCTTTAGTGTTTGCCCATTTTGGTCCATTACAGCCACATACCTTCCTAATACACTTAATTGCCTCATACACTTCCTTCATAACACCACTCTCTTGCATACAGTGCTCACAATATTGGGCTCATCTTTGTTCAGCAGCATTCTAAGTCTTCCACAGTTTGTTCCCACCACCTTTCTGGATTGTTCCTGGATTCCATATAGAGCCTCTCAACTCCAGCCTAAGGGCCTTGGTTGCCATAGCCACATCTTCATCACAGCCCTGCCTCTGCTTCTCTTGCCATTCGTAGAGCACCCATTCATCTTTCTCCACCTATGGAAATTCTACCCCTCCTTACAAGCTCAGCTCATTTTTTGAGTTCTTAAGAAAGCCTTTCATGATCACCTGAGGGGAAGGGATCACTCCTTTTTACCAATTTTTATTCCATTTAAGTTCTGTGCTTCTCATTTATCACACATTTCTTTTCACTGTAGTAATATGTGGAAATGTCTTTTAAGTCCCATGAAAGATTATAATGTCCTGGAAGGCAGAAATTTGTGTAATATTTCTTTGTTTTTTCCTATTTCCTTCACAAAAAGTAAATTGTTTAGGAATTGACTTTAAACTCTGTGTGGATTTAAGACTAATTTAAACTAGGTGGGCATTTTTCCTTCGCAAAGTGGTGAAAACAAAAATAACAGGGAAGGCCAAAGAAAAATTCCTCTTCTTTCTGAACCTGAAAGTGCTCAGTGAACTAAGGTTTAAGGTGAGGAGAAAAATATATTTGGAAATATGTTTAAGGACCATACTTTTCAGAAATAATTTTAGAGGTCTGATAAAAAATATTTTATTTTTTCCCCATGAAATGTATTTCTGAAGTGATTTTGGACAGTTTGTTGTTTTTATATGTGAACCTCTTTTGATGTTTGTGCTCAAGGTAAAAGTTAGTTCATGTAAGAACAGGTCTGTGACAGAGTAGGGGCTTGGATGCTCTTGGGAAAGCAGTATTCTCTCAGAATGAAGAAAAGCACCTTGCAAAACAAGCCAAAGTTCTAGGGGAAAAGTTGGCAGAGCTGGGGAACAGTCGCTAAAACATCCATTGGCTTTTCACTTAACCCTTCCCAACCTTCCCTTGGTCAGTTTCTGATTAAGAACTTGTGTAGGGCACGGTGGCTCACACCTATAATCCCAGCACTTTGGGAGGCCAAGGCAGTCGGTTCACAAGGTCAAGAGATGGAGACCATCTTGGCCAACATGGTGAAAACCCATCTGTCCTAAAAATACAAAAATTAGCTGGTTGTGGTGGCACACACCTGTAGTCCCAGCTCCTCAGGAGGCTGAGGCAGCAGAATCACTTGAACCCAGGAGGCGGAAGTTGCCATGAGCTGAAACTGCATCACTGCACTCCAGCCTAGGGACAGAACAAGGTTCTGTCTCAAAAAAAAAAAAAAAAAAAAAGAACTTCCCCAAGGCTGGGTGCCTCACTCCTGTAATCCTAGCACTTTGGGAGGTGGATCACTTGAGGTGACGATTTGAGACCCGCCTGGCCAACATGGTAAAACCCTATCTCTACTATAAGTCCAAAAAAATTAGCCAGGCATGGTGGTGGGCACCTGTAATCCCAACTAACTATTCAGGAGGCTGAAGCAGGAAAATCACTTGAACCCAGGAGGTGGCGGCTGCAGTGAACCGAGATTGCACCACTGCATTCCAGCCTGGGCCATACAGTAAGACTCTGTCTCAGAATAAATGAAATAAAAACAATAACTTCCCCAAAATGTGGTCATTATCTGTGCATGAAAATGGGTGTGGAGTGAGAGTGCAGGAAGTCCTTGTGATCTTCCACCCTGATTAGGAGCACTTGCTGAATGTGCCACTTGTTATTCCAGGTGCCAGAGATATCGTACAGGCTAGACTGATTCCTTATGCTTAAGGAATGGGGAAGACAGATCAAAGCACACAGACAAAGCTTGTGTTGTGTTTGATAAGCTTTGTCTGTGAGCTTCAAAATAAGCCCAGGAATTTGCTTTATGTCAATGATCTTGGAGTTATGTTCCACAAATTATGCTAACTAATCTTGAGATGGATTATTGGATTCTCTGGTAGTGTGCAAAGACTGTAATCCTCCCCAAGGCTACCACTGGTTTTGGACACACCCAAGTGTACACCCTCATCATTTTCTCAATTTCAATTCTTTATCTTGTTTCTCTGTTTCAGAACAAACTCAAAATAATTTAGGGAGAGTTTTGAGTTTGCTCTGAAATAGAGAAACAGTTTGTTCTGAATTAGTTTTATTTGATCAAACTAATCAAGTAAAATTATTCTAATTTTTTTTGGTGGTTAAAGAAATAACCGAAGTTGGATCTTCTTGAGGCAGCAGATTTGTTTGTATTAGGTTATCTGTTGTAAAAACCTTAGTCCCCATTGCTGTCCAAGATCCTCCCCCAGACAGCTGTTACTGGCACACCTGGCAGTGGCTGGGCTGCTTGCTAACCAAAACAGCAGCTGCAGCATCAATAGACAACATTTGTTACCACTCTAAATAACCAAACCACTTTTGTGCAGCTTCAGTTGCTCCTAATCATTTTTATCCCAAACCCAAGCATCTAGGGAAACAAAATAACATTATAACAGAATTAATAGAATTTTTTTGTTTGTTTTTGAGAAGAGTCTCACTCTGTCACTCAGGCTGAGCGCAGTAGTGCCATCTCGGTTCACTGCAACCTCCACCTCTTGGGTTCAAGCAGTTCTCTTACCTCAGCCTCTCATGTAGCTGGGATTACAGGCACATGCCGCCATGCCTAGCTAATTTTTGTATTTCAGTAGAGATGGAGTTTCAACCATGTTGGCCAGGCTGGGCTCAAACTCCTGACCTCAAGTGATCCACCTGTCTTGGCCTCCCAAAGTGCCGAGGTCACAGGTGTGAGTCACCATGCCTGGCCTTAGAATATCTTACTCCAGTATTTTTCATATTGTGTCAATAGTAACCCAAAATTAAACAAAATAGATCTTACATCATAACACATAATACACACAAATATAAAAAAGTTTCATATGGCCATGCTTAACTGTAAGACAGAGTTTCTCCATTGACATTTTGGTCAGGATAATTTTTTTGCTGCACCAAGAGGAGGTTTCATCCTGTATAGTGTAGGGTGTTTAACAGAATCCCTGGCTTCTACTCACTAGTTGCCAGCCTCCATCACCCTACCTTGTTACATAACTCCAGACATTGCCACATGTTCCCTGCTTGAGAACCACTGCTCTAGTGTGTGTGTGATGCATTCTGCTGATTTTGATCCTCTTCTGTTTCATTTTTTAAAATGCTATTTGTGACCTAGTAAATTGTTTCACAACCTGCTAATGAGCTGTGAACAACTGCAGACAAACAAGGCCTTAACGCATATTAACACTGATCAACAGTAATGCGTATTAGCTGTGTGCCATGCAGAGCACTTTTGAGGCTATCAAAAGTATTTGGTATCTCAAGGTTCCAATGAGTTATGAGACAAGGAAAGGACATTGTGTTGAAGAAACTTGAATTTCATGTTATAAACATGTTGGCTTGAGCTCCTGTTGCTACTCACTAGCTATCTGACTTGGGGCAATTCTTGGGGTGGAATACAGACAGTGGCTTTCCTGCTTTTCTTAAGTGATGGATATGAGAGTTAGAGACTGTAAATAGAAAGGCTTAAGGAAAGTTACATACTGTAAAGAGAAAGGCTTAATGAAGTACCTTCTGACAGCTATGATAAAGGTCGTTATATGGAAGATTAACTCTATGAGAATTAAGAATTTTTGCAAAAGATTATTGCATAGCCACATCTGCTCAGCAAGAAAGCAAGAGGTGGCTAAGGGCACTGGGATTCTTTTTGTTTTTTCTTTGAAGAGTTCTAATGGCCACATTGCTGTGTACTGAGTTCTTACTGAGATACCAACACTGTTCTTTTTATTTATTTATTTTATTTTACTTTAACTTCTGGGGTACATGTGCAGATCTTGCAGGATTGTTACATAGGTATACGTGTGCCATGGTGGTTTACTGCCTCCATCCCCTCCCCGTCACTTACATTAGGTATTTCTCCTAATGTTATCCCTCCCCAATCTCTCCACCCACTTCTATCCCTACCCAGCCACCCACCCCCCCAACAGACCCCAGAGTGTGATGGTCCCCTCCCTGTGTCCATGTGTTCTCATTGTTCAACACCCATTTATGAGTGAGAACATGCAGTGTTTGGGTTTCCGGTCTTGTGTCAGTTTGCTGAGGATGATGGTTTCCAGATTCATCCATGTCCCTGCAAAGGATATGAACTCATCTTTTTTATGGTTGCATAGTATTCCATGGTATATATGAGGGCACTGGGATTCTTGAGGAATGCCTCTGAAGGGAAAATAGGGGCATTGGCCTGAAATCTCCTTCATTCAAGTTCTGACAATGCAGAGGGGTGCTGCTGATCCTAATATATCTCATATTTCCTAACTCTCCTTAGCATTTACTAACACTCCAGATGTAAACAGTACCTCGGAACGACCCTCCAAGGATGAAATGGCCAACAGACCATGGCTCCTGTATAGTTTACTTCCTTTGGGGGCATTGCCTCTACTCATCATTACCTGTTGCTTCCTGTTCTGCTGCCTGAGAAGGCACCAAGGTGGGTTCTATTGTCCTTCTGCCCCCTGTACCACACATTTGGGGCTATTCTTATTTCTGGGACTAATAGATTTTTAGTTTCTTCCTGTTATTTTCTTTCCCAATCCTGTGGTAAACCACAGATAGTGATTTTCTGGGAGACAACTCATACTTGTGCTGAAAAAGCAAATGGGTTTTGATTGGGGCTCCCTTGAGTCATGAGAGATGCATGCTTACCACAGCACACACAGTGTTCCAGACAGCTTGTGGCGAGCACAGCACATTGCTGAGACTTCGTCATTCTATCTACATCAATCTTAGGTTTGTGTGAGAAAGAGCTCTTCTAAACGTAACAGGATTGAAAGTTGAGACAATGTCTCAGGTCAAGATACCTGATTTGAGTTATTTTGTACTGACCTCTTCTCTCAGCCACACCACATCATGCCATTACCTAACTGAAGAACCAGCACCCCCAGAGAAAATTAATATGTGTGTACTTTCTGTTGCCGTAAGAAACATATGCTTGACCTGAATCCTTACCCAACAATAATGCATTTGAAAAATGTGGGTTTGGCTATGATGGGAGAGGTGTGATATTTTGAAAATAATTCCTTTCTACTTTTATAAGAACTCCCTCAATGTCATGACCAAACATGTTAAGTAAGAGAGAAATGCATAGAGAATTCTGATCTAGCTTTGGCCTGAACCACTTCAGTTTTCTCTTTCCTTTTTCTTCTCCTCCATTCTCTCCCATGCCTGTTTTCACAACATCAGTTACAGTGTAGCTATAGAAATTGAGATAGATGGAGCAACCCTTATTCTGTGTGCCACAGGAGTAACTTTTCACTCAGCAAAAGTGCTTCTGGTATTGTGGAGTGAGAATTTCTGGAGTCCACAGCCTTCTCTGGATTTGGAATAATTCTCTCTTACCCCAATTCTTCATCTGCAACTCCATGGCTCTTTCTATGGCCTTTCTGTATCTTTCATCATCTTTCTCAAGACTTCTGGAACCTCTCTCAGAACTTCAGAAAAGGAGTCAGAGAGAAATCTTTTGATATACTACATCTAAAGTGAACTAGGTAGTAAGAGATCTTGGCTACATAGGTGACAGGACAGCAGTATTTCTGGCATTGAGTATGGAATGTCCCCAAAGCAAGGACTTCCAGTCTTTTCCAAGTAATATACTAGGTCCTTCCCCTTCCTCTTAGATATGCCATGAGGCTATGTGGACTGAAAAGTGATGAACCAGAGAGAGAGCTGGTCAGTGTGAATTCTCACAAACAAGTGTGTGTGGCATGCTAGGCAAAGGAAATCAACAAGTCAAAACTAGTAACAGTACTATCCCGGGCATTCAACAGGGTAAGCATGGATGGCACAGTGGTTTACTTCTGTTTTCTTTACTCCTTTTGATTACTTATTTTTCCTTTTGTCTTCCAGGAAAGCAAAATGAACTTTCTGACACAGCAGGAAAGGAAATTATCCTGGTATGCTTGATGTATCTGTTGAAACAAATGAAATTTGTGTTATACTGTGTTTATTTTTTCAATGAATTTATATAACACTTACCATGTGCCAGGCATTATTCTAGGTATTCTCTCTCTCTCCATATATATATATATACATGTGTAGACTCATTTTTTAAAATGTGAATTTTACATTCAGCTCTCTGCAGTAAAAGCTCTTTAGGGTTAAGTCTCATAAGTGGTTCTTTGGAAGTTCATGGAAGGCAGTATAGATCTGAGACAGAAAAGTCAGAGACTAAGCCATGCAGACTTGACTTGCTCTTGCCTATTATATGACTTCAGGCTATTCATTTATTTTTATGAAAACACCTTAAAATCTTTCTGGAAGAGAGTAGGGAGCTAATAAAAGAATGGATCTATAAATAGCCTCATAAAATATTAGATATCTTCATATATAACTCCAGCAAAGTAGAAACATGATCTTTGGTTTAGTTATTGCACAGAGGTCCCTGGCAATGTGTATGGGCTCATCAAGGAAGGGACCACCCAGACTAAAGGAAGGGAATTTTGGAGACAATCTTTCCTATAAGGTTTGGAATATAAATGTAGGCTTTTATTTTGAGTTGAATGTTATGGAGATATTAGAACTAGAAAAGAATGCAAGATGAGGCAATATATTTGTGGGAAAAATTCTGAAGCTAATTAAAACTGATTATTAGAGATACTGCAAAGGAACTTGATATGTGTGTGTGTGTGTGTGTTCCAGTAAGGAAGAATAGTGATAGAGATAGTAATCCTCTTAAAAATTCCACAAAAGACAAAGTCGATAAAGCCAATAATTCTATATATAATATTAAATGGCATTCAACATTCCCCACCAAGCAGCTAAATTTTAAACCAAACCAAATACATTCAACTTGATAAACTTCTATGAAGTTTTAGTGAACATCAGTAGGCACTGTACTGGGTGCTAAGGCTTTGTTCCCTCAAATAGGGAAATTTTCTTAAATATTATTTTCTTCTTTTTTTTTGAGATGGAGTCTCACTCCATCACCCAGGCTGGAGTGCAATGGAGTGATCTCAGCTCACTGCAGCCTCTGCCTCCAAGGTTCAAGCAATTCTCCTGCATCAGCCTCCCCAGTAGCAGGGATTACAGGCACCCACTACCATGGCCAGCTAATTTTTTTTTTTTTTTTTAGTAGAGATGGGGTTTCACCATGTTGGCCAAGCTGGTCTTGAACTTCTGACCTCAAGTGATCTACCCTTCTTGGCTTCCCAAAGTGCTGGGATTATAGGCATGAGCCACTATGCCTAGCCAAAATATTATTTTCTTTCTATAGTAAATAATAATGATAATTTCATTTGATTACAATAAGGCCTGAAAGCTATGAAACTATCTAAGACAAAAATCTAAATAATTTACTGCGCAAGTAAAATCCAGGTTGGTTAAGCTGTGGTCATTTTTCTTCCTGGGTAGGCTGGACAAATTATGATTTGAAGCTTAATTCAAAAGAGTTTTTTTCTGTGTGTGCAATAGTTTGGGAAGTTTGTTTCAAGGTATTCTTGCTATTCACAGAAATTTAAAGATTTTTGCTCCATTTCAGATGTCTAGCATTTCTGAAAAAAAAAAATGGATACCCTATTAGATCCTTGGGGCTAAATATTTCTTAACATAAAACTAGTAGGGGAACTGTGGAGAAATCAAAATACAGGAAGGAACTGGTAAAAACATGACAGCTACATATAAAAGCCAAAGCTCTGATCTTAATCCAGAAGGATCCTTTGAGGGCATAAAGTGCTTGCCTAATAAAAACCACTTAAAAGAGCATTGTACACTTAGAAGAGTGAATTTTATGGCATGTGAATTATATCTAAACATATACTTTAAATACATATTTTAAAGTGCTTTGTATACTAGTAACCTTCTATAGGAATGTAATGGGATTGCTGTTTCTGGCTTTGTCATCTCTACCCACCATATTGTCGTGGATTGGCCTTGTGGCACTCAGGCACATTGATGGGTGCCACAGCAGGGGTGCTACAGAGCACTATATTTTCTTTCGCTCCATTCATTTTAACAAAATTTTTCGTGGAAATGAGCCATTTCTTGGGATGAAAGACAGGTAGACAGGTAACTGAATTGACAGGCTTAAACAGATTGAAAAGTATCACAGGAACCTTGTTGATATATTGAGGACTAAAGACTATTTTTCAGTTCACGTGACAGTCTTCTTTAGTGTGCCACCTACTGACTTCACCCAGGCTTCTTCCAGTGGAGTTGGGAGTACTTTTCATCTTAGCCAAACAACCTCTGCCCCCTTAGTCGCTCAGCCTTACTGTTATTTCTGGGCAGCCACCTCATCAGAGGGAGGCACGGTGTCAGGAATTATTACTTAGCTTCTCAGGGTAAAGCCAGACATGCTTGCATGATAGACTCTGCCAAAGAATTGCCATAGGCATCCTACTGCACACATCACAGTGAGGATGACAAAGGACCAGATAAAGTAGGTAGACTTTCAAAGACTGTGGACCTCATACCTTAAAAAAGTTAGGCCAGACTTCAAGAGCGTAAATTGATGGGCAAAACTGGGATTTAAAAAACTGAAATAACGGCCGGGCGCAGTGGCTCAGGCCTGTAATCCCAGCACTTTGGGAGGCCGAAGTGGGCGGATCACCTGAGGTCAGGAGTTTAAGACTGGCCTGGCCAACATGGAGAAACCCCATCTCTTTAAAAAAATTAATTAATTAATTAAAAAAAAAAAAAAAAAGAAAAACTGAAATAGCCCTAGAATGAACACATCTGCTTTGTCAGGTGACCCTTTGTATAAGCAGGAATGGCTAATAAATAACTGAAGAGTGAGAAAACAACAGGACTCATTTTACTTTTTGTTTCTACACATTCACCTCTTTCTCAGAAGCTCTAAGATATTTGGCTATATTTGAAACTGTAAGAATTTTCTTGTGATAGAAATAACAACTGGAATATTGTTTTAGAACTTTTTCTAAGCTTTATCTTTCCAAAACTGACATCAGTTTTTTAATTTGAGGTCTCAAATTCTAATGATATACCATGGCTAACTCATAATATTTATCCTTTCTGTCCCCTTAGGAGGTATCTGTTCTGCTTTGTCCTTAATCTTTTTATTCTAAACTGCATTAAGTGCTATTCACTGTGTTATAAACTGCCTGAAGTTTTCATAGGATATTTTTTGCTTTTTCCATTAATTTGGGCTATGCTTTTCATCTTGAAAGGGGATTTAAAAATGTTCTGGGACCTCAAAGTAACCAGTAATAAAGCACAAAATATCTATTTAGGGGTACATAGTGATTCTCAAGCCTTTTATCCTTCAATAATTGAGATTTAGCAGAAAATGTAGATGTCAGCAGCATGTGTGAGGAATAGTAGATTATTTCTTACAATGGACATGACTCCATTTAAGCCTCTTATTCACAGTTTGCCAATGAATATGCACTACCATGCCTCTAAGTGTCACTTAAAACCATCTTTTTTCTATTATAGGTTGATGTTCCCTTTAAAAGTGAGAAAACAGAAGCAAGCACCAGGCAAAATTCCCAAGTACTGCTATCAGAAAGTGAAATTTATGATAATGACCCTGAACTTTGTTTCAGGATGCAGGAAGGGTCTGAAGTTTATTCTAATTCACTCCTGGAAGAAAACAAACCGTGTATTGTTTATGCTTCCCTGAACCATTCCATCATTGGAGTGAACTCAAGACACACAAGACCTGTGAAAGAAGCACCAACAGAATATGCATCCATATGTGTGAGGAGTTAAGTCTATTTCTGACTCCAACGGGGGGTATTGAATGATCAGCGTGTCAACATCATCGTCTGGGACCAATAGGATGTCAAATAATATTTCTCAATTTGAGAATTTTTACTTTAAAAATGTTCATGTTAGTGCTTGGGCTTTAAGGGTCCATTGGATGAATAAATTTCTCCCAGAAACTTATTTGGGAGCTTTTTATATTATAAACTTGAACAAGAAAATCTCTCCAAAACTGACTTATATCATGAGTAGCAGAATAGTAGAACATTTAAACTCAGCTCCATTTCACCCAATATACAAACTCAATCTTGCTTTTGAAGCTCTTGGAAAGACTTGTAGGGAAAAGAGGTTTGTGTTATCTGGATCGGTTTACTACACACTCTTGAAAACAAAATGTCTCAATTTGACTAACCAACCATAAATACAGTAATGATTTTACATTTCAAGTCAATCTTTCATGATAAGAAATTTTTCCTCTGTCAATCTAAGAATGGTGTTTCTTAAATGCAAAGGAGAAATCATTTTAGACTTGATGTAAGAAAATGAAAAGAATAAATAGTGCAATAAAAATATAGAATATACCAATTAGATGTAGAGTAGATGTTCTCCATACTTGGCAAGCAAATGCTTATATCTACTCTCTTAGATTGATAGACAAATATAGGTATTAATGGAGCAGTCAACGTATAGTACATTTATGAATAAAATAGTGACTCACTGTTTGGGTCACATAGACTGATGGATAAGAATATGACATAATGCTGCTGAATTAATAGACTTATGGGCATCCGAATAGCTTAGAAGTTAGTCAGAATAGGTATTATTGGGCAAGTGAAGATTGATAGCTTAAACTGCTTCATGCTTAACTTGATAGCAAGTTAAAGTGCAATTAACGGAATGGTGGAAAACCCAGAATATTTAATTGGTCAGCAGGGGTCAATACGCTTTCATTCACCACATCTGCATCTTGCTGTTATTCTTACTAAGGAATCAGGGCAAATTATCTGTAGTGACATATTTTAGTTTGCTAATCATTTATTTTAAAATACTGAGGTTGCAGCCACTTAAGAGCACAGCAAAAGATGGATTCAGATATTTGGAATTTCCAAAGTACTTGAGTTAAATTATTTCAAAAGTACCCTATAACTTTATTCAACAGTTTGAGGTGATTAGAATTCTCAGGTGCTGCTACTGAATAATGTAATAGTCTTCATACAAAGTGGATAGCAAAGGTTAAAATCCATTTGAACAAATATGTGAGCTGAGCTGCTGTACAAATGAATGTGACCTGTGTGTGTGTGTGTGTGCGAGCGTGCGCATGTGTGTGTGGTGTGTATTTTAGGTGGGGTGGGTGACAACAGAAATGGTGCATGATCAAATTGATATTACATTTTCAGTTTGCTTTTGAAGCTCAAAATACTAGATTAAATGGGTCATTAAAGAAAATAATGTGTGAAATTATGGAGTTGAGAGTATAAGTGGGGTAAACATATACAAAGACAAAACTGAGGTTTTGTGGTGGAGAGAGTTTCTTATATAACACTGGCATTACATTTTAGCTCCTTAGATTTGGGAGTGCAGATATTCTTTTGAGTCACTGTTATTTAGCCAATTACACCTAGAATTTTAAGCAACCAATTCTAGATAGGCTCTTTTAGCCAGGCTGCATTTGTGGACGACTTATGTAAGAAAGACATCTAGCTGCTTGTGGTATTCTTAAAAATAGAAACAGGAAATATGGGGAGGATACATTTAGCTGTCCTCTTATCAGATGAACACACAAAGCTGAACAGTTCCCTTATGATTCTCTCAAACTTAAAAGCAAAATATTTCTGTCTTATTTAGAATATTCTTCGTATGTCTTACAGTAAAGATAATGCTGATAATGATTTCATCTCTATGATTTATTAATATATTTGTACTGTTTGCCAACATCACACATCATTCATGTTTTTATTCCTTTTCAAAATGGTGTCAGAGATATATATGTATTTTCCCAAATGAATCTATTTCACTATTATTTAGGCTTATTTCCTTAATTTATAATGGTTTGAGCAAAAGAATATGTAATTTAATGGTTTTTCACAAATTTTAAGCTTGTTGATTGTTCTCAATAAGAAGGTAAAGTTATTAAAACTTATTTGAAATCAATTTGGCATCTGCTTTTGTACCCCAAAATGTGTGGATATGAATAGAAGACTGGCACATAAAAGCAACCTGACTAACTTACTAAACTGCAGAGCACTAACTTGCAGCACTAAGAAATTCTGATTCAGGAAGTCTAGAAAATGGCTCTTTAATCTTCATCTTTAAAAGACATGCCTGCCAATTTTAATATGTTTCCCAGTGTCCACAATCTGAGAAACTTAGTAGACGTTAGGTTTGGTATATGTGGTTTATCTGATCAGTTTTGTGCACCAACCAAAACTATCTAGTCCCCAGAATGGATTCTCTGGTGTGATCATATCTATTTTGCTAAATATATAAACCTTTTTCAGAGCACTTTCAGGTTTAGCAAAGCTGAGCGGAAAATATCGAGTTTCTATACCCTCTTCCCCCACACATGCACAGCTTCTCCCATCATCAACATCCTGCATTTCAGTGGTATATTTGTTACAATCAATAACTAGAATTGACATGTCATTATCAACCAAAGTTCATGGGTTACATGAGGGTTCACACTTGATATTGCAATTCTTTGGGTTTTGACATGTATAATGATGTGTATCCACCCATTATAGTGATTTACAGAATAGTTTCACTGCCCTAAAAACCCTCTCTGCTCTACTCATTTATCTCTCCCTCCCAGCCCCTGACAACCACTGCCTCTATTGCTTTGCCTTTTCCAGAGTGTCATATAGTTGGAGTCATGCTCCAAGTAGCCCTTTCAGATTTGCTTCTTTCACTTAGTAATATGCATTTAAGTTTCCTCCATCTCTTATCATGACTTGGTAGTTCATTTATTTTTAAAGGTGAATACTATTCCATTGTCTGAATGTACCACAGTTTATCTGTTCATCTACTGAAGGACATTTTTGTGGCTTCCAGGTTTTGACAATTATGAATAAAGTTGCTCTAAACATTTGTGTGCAGGGTTTTAAAAACATTTCAATTTGAAATTCAGGGGTGCATGGGCAGGTCTGTTATACAGGTCTAGTGTCATGGAGGGTTTCTTGTACAGATTATTTTATCACCCAAGTATTAAGCCTATTAGTGCCCATTACTTATTTTATCTGACCTTCTCCTTCCTCCCACCCTCTACCCTCCAGTTGGCCTTAGTTTCTGTTGTTCTCCTCTCTGTTTCCATGTGTTCTCATCATTTAGCTCCCACTTATAATTGGGAACATGCAATATTTAGTTTTCTGATTCTGCGTGGCTTCTAGCTCCATCCATGTTCCTGCAAAGGACGTGATCTCATTCTTTTTTATGGCTGCATAGTATTTCATATGTACCACATTTTCTTTATTCAGTATTCCATTGATGGGCATTTAGGCTGATTCCCTGTTTTTCTATTGCGAGTAGTTTTGCGGTGAGCATATGCATGTATGTGTCCTTATAGAAGAACAATTTATATTCCTTTGAATATATATATATCCAGTAATGAGATTGCTGGGTCAAATGGTAGTTCTGTTTTTAGCTCTTTGAGGATTTGCCACACTGCTTTCCACAATGACTAAACTAATTTACACTCCCAACAACAGTGTATGAGCATCCCTCTTCTGAGCCTTTCCAGTGTCTGTTATTTTTTGACTTTTTATAATAGCCATCCTGACTGGTGTGAGACAGCATTGTTGTGGTTATGATTTACATTTCAATTTTTAAATCCTTTGAGGAAATACCAAGGAGGATGATGGCTGGATTGTATGGTAAGAGTATGTTGAGTTTGGTAAGAAATTGTCAGATTATCTTCCAAAGTAACTGTACCATTTTGCATTTTCACCAGTAATAAAGACTTCTTGTTATTTCACATCCTAGCCAGAATTTAGTGATGTCAGTGTTTTGGAATTTTGCCATTCTAACAGGTGCGTAGTGGTATCTCATTTTTTTAATTTGGAATTCCCTAATGACATACTGTTTTGTATCTTTTCATATAGTTATTTGTAATCCATGTATTCTGTTTGGTGTGGTGTCTGTTCAGATCTTCTGCTCATTGTCTAATTGGGTTGTTCATTTTCTTGTTGAATTTTAAGAGTTCTCTGTATAGTTTTGATAACAATCCTTTATGAAATATGTCTCTTTTTTAGATTGCATGTAGTCTTTTTTTTCTTTTTTAAATTTTAGATTCAAGGGATGTATGTGCATGTTTGTTACATGGGTATTAGCCCAACATGCTAAATAAGTATCTACATTTTAACAAGAGCTTCAGGTAATCAGTACGCATTTTGATGTTTGTGAATCTTGTGTTCCACTTAACCTTTGTGAACCCATCTTTCTCCACAACATGCTAAATAAGTATCTACATTTTAACAAGAGCTTCAGGTAATCAGTACGCACTTTGATGTTTGTGAATCTTGTGTTCCACTTAACCTTTGTGAACCCATCTTTCTCCACCCAAAGTCAGGTGTGGTAGGACTCCATGTCACATTTATAGGACACACTAATTTAGAAAGTTCTTTTTTAGGCAGAAACAAGAAAGGCCAGAAAGTAAAAATGACACGTGAGAGAGCATAGTGCTATTTTATAGAAGTTTTGCTAAACTTGAGAACATGAGAACTGAAAGTCCTATCCTAGAAATCAACTAGCAGTTTCAAAAATAAATTCTGAGGTTAATCTTTAAAATCAGGCCCCCAAAATAAGAATGAAAACAAAAATAAATAAAAATAAAAAATAAAATCAGGCCCTTATTTTTAAGCTGGTCAGGGTAAACATGCCATGGCAATTGTTTTATCTGTGCACAATTTATAACCACCTATTATCACCTACCAGTTTGCTAGATTCTGAGGTTATATGGTTGAGAAAGATTTCATTCCTGCCTGACACTGCTTATGGTATAGATGAAGAAGTAGATGTTAAACAAAAAATTACAATCCCATTGTTGAGGAGACAGGTGCAAAATATTGTGAAAACACCATCGAATTTTAAGTTTCCTGAGTATAAGAACTATGTATTGTTCAGTGGAGCAGCGTTCATGTTCCTGAGACTGAGAGTTTTTGAGGGGACCCTAAATAATCACATTCCTCTGGCTCTACAGATTCTTAACCAATTGACAAATAGAGGAGTCAGATTGGGGTTAATATCAATAGTAAAGATGGATTGACAAGCACAGCTTGGGCTCAAAACTAAAATGTATTTCCTACCCATTCCTCCACCTAATCTTGCTTGACTTTGGGACCCCTTTATAGGAGATTTAGGTCTACAGAAAGATACTTACCCAGTCATTTGGGGAATGTCAGCCTGCTTCAAGTTTCCTTGATTGCAGATGAGAATCAGAAACATAACTACAACCTCCTTGCCTTTGATGCAAGAAGTTCTTTCAGAGGTTAATGTGGTAAAAAGGGTGAGAAGCTCTGCCCATCGCACCAGTATGTTAAATCAATCCTCTTTCTATAAGGAGAAGACTGCAGGAGGGCAGATCATAGGAGGACCCTGTATCACAGCTAAGGTGAGAGCATGAGGAAAGCAAAACAATGACTTTTTCCTAGTTCGGGAAAAACGCAAGTAATCACTGAATGTTAAATTACTGAACTGAATAAATTAAAAATAAGAAGCAACTACTTCTTTCAGGGAAGTCAAATAATGTCATTTGTGTCTTCTCTTAGAGTGAGGAAAAAAGGAGGAGAGAATTTTAATTGCAGAAAAGAGCCATTCAAAACAGCATGGCACGTTCTGAGATTGGCCAGGCACCCAGTGGCTGTAGATTAGGTTACAGGGAGGGACTTACAAAATGTAAGACCAATTTTAGTTGTAATTGGCACTTAAATAGAATGTAGGTAGCCAAAGTTCTTTCCTGTACATTATACAAAACACTGTGAAAGATCTATTGGCAACAATTTTCTCTTTAAGCTTCTTGGCTGTCACAGATGTGCATAACTGACGTGCTGTTAAAGTCATAAAATTTATTTTTATTTTAGACAATGTTATTACAACTTATCCAAATCTTAATAAATGTTTAACAGTTGACAAATGATTTTAGTTGGGGTTAAATACAAGGAAGAACAGTATTGAGTAGAATTTTAGCAAATCCTATGAGGTCATAACCAAATAGAGGTTAGAAACCTCAAACTTTCTTATCTGCCATTCACAATCTACCTTAAAATAATTAAAAATATTAGCTCCAAACTTGGTAATAACAGATTATATTGTTCTTTAAACTTTTGGAAATGTGTGTTTGCTTTGAATAATATGCTATAATATGATTGGAAAACATATGATCCCTAAGTTTATTTGAATAACATTGGTGTTTATTATGCGTCTTTAAAAAAAAAAGTTAAGAAGTGAAAAATAAGTAGTATCATTGCCAATCTCTTCCAAGGAAGTATTCCAACTAATAGTGGAGCTAGCCCACAGGTTGACTAACTGATATATGAAATTGAGACCTACGCTTTAGGGCTTTCTATGGCTCATAATCATATATTTATAAACACTCCACAATATTTTACCTCAAAATTCTTGATCCCTTGACAATAAGATGTTTATAATAATTGATATCTACCATTTATTTATTGCTTGTCTATGTGACAAACATTGCTCTAAGTCTTTTAAATGTACAACTTGTTTAATTCTCACAATCACCTTATGAAGGAAGTAGTTATCATTCTCATTCTACTGATCAGGAAAATGAGGCATACAGTCATCAAGTAACTTGTCCAAGTTCTCATCTCTAACAAGTGATAGAAACTAAATCCCATCCTAGTAATCTGATTCCAGAACCTATGTTCTTACCACAGCACCAACTTGAGAAGCAATGGAGAAGAATTGGGGATTGTTTTAGACTCTGTAGCATGCAAAAGAAAGCCTTAGATTTGTGCTGAAACCATCTCAAGATTGTTTGATTAAGCCCTGCTTAAGAGTGGTGATACTTGCAATTGCCCAGTTATCAGTGTTGGGCCATCAGTAGAAGGAAGGAATTGAACTAGGCAAAGATCTGGCACTACATTGGAGAGGATAATACTCATGCTGATGGCAAGGGCAGAAGTACAAGCAATAGGTGC